ACCTGTCGATTTCCTGAACGGGCGTTGGTAAATATTTCCGAACGCAACTTCTCAGAATGAATACCAAGCTTGTTCCAGAACCAGTGTTCTCTTATGGTTCAGAAACTATGCAAAGTAAGAAGGACGAGCTTTCTCTTCTTATTTTCGATTGAAAGATTCTTCCAATAATTTTTGGCCCTGTTTGCGACGGCGGTGTTTGGCTTATTCGCTACATTGAAGAACTTTATAACATCCATGGCGCCGCCAACATCGTCCAATTTATAAAATGCAACAGGCTGAAGTGGTTGGGACATGTGCACCGATTGGCGGATGACAGAACCCCAAGGTCCTTACAGAACTCACAGCCTGGTGGCAGGAGAAAACCGAGACCGAGGCTGTGATGGTGGAATGAAATTGTCAACGAACTCGAAACAAAAGTTTTCGAAGTTGGACGCAAGAAGCACGAGTTAGATTGCGATAGCGATATTTGAGGAGGCCAAGGCCCACAAGGGGCTGTATAGGTAGTGATGCAGAAGTGGGGTTAAATATTAATTTCACTTAACGCATTAAGTGTTATAAAAAAAAACGTGTGGCACTCGGGGACTGCCGCGGTAAAGCTATTGCATAGCATTTTTTATCAACTTATGCAGTTATAATTATTTATTTATTTTTTATTTATGCAGTACCTATTTGTAATTCTTTAATATTAATTCAAGTTTTTTCTTTGATATTATTTCAATCTACCACTCTACCAGACTCAGACTAAAACGCCTATTACGTAGTCTGTCTCACTCTAACGCGTACCGGCTGCACCGGGCCGTTACTACGTCACCGATCTCGTCAGAGAGATAGGAATGCGCAGTATGCGTTCTGTCCCACTCTAACGCGTATTTACCGCACCTATTATTACGTCATCGTGTGTTAGGTTTTTTTCGTAACGGAATTTCTTGATTCGGTCGCCGCGCTCAAAGCCCGCGATAAAATCTATGCAATAGCTTAATAACATGTTGTACAAAACGTTATATGCTAAATGTTAAATTTTGTTAAGGATACATTTTTGTTATATTAGTCAAAAATAACACATGTTATTAAAATAGTATTTAAAAAATATTATTTAAGTAAGTATATTTTTAACAGTATAATAAGAAATAAATAAATTGTTTTAACTTTTATTACACTCCTCTATATTGATGATGATGATGATAATTTCCTAACGATGATGTTCACGATATTATAAATATATTATATTTTGGAGAACGCGGACTACTTTCTGTATATATAAACTAGGATGGTACACATTCCATAAACACCTTAATATTATTGTTTATTTGTCTCAGAGGCTTAGTGGTTAACGCATACGGCGTATCCTAATACCGGGGTCGATTGCCGGCAAAAAAATATTTTTTTGGAACAGGATTCCCCTTCCGACATGCCTTAATAATAACGATAAAATTGATACATAGTCTTCCGGTACTTCTAATATTATTATAACAAAAAAAAGTGCTACAATGTCTCGTCTTGGCCTCTGATGCCGGTTTCATTGATCTATTATTTATATTTACCTAATAAGGATTCGAAATATCAACTTAAACGTTTCCTTAGAAAACTTGTCAATACCCAAGGGCCAATTCGGTTTAATATAATTCAGTATAATCAAAGTTCCCTCGGAGCGTGCCTATGTATTAATTTCAGTTCCTCGTTTGGTTCGGCTTTACAATATTTAAATTTAATTACGTTTGACGCTGGCTTTTACACATGAGACCAACATTGATTAACTTGTGATGAGATTTTAATATATTTTATATTTAATTTTTAATAGCTAAATAATTTAATGGTTTTAGAATGAAGCACTGTTTTTAAAGGTTATAAAAAGTGGAAGTATTTTTCTCATAGCTGTTGTACCTATATAATATATTTTTTCCATTAATGTTTAATAAACAACAAACAGCTGTTCATCATATTATCCTTTTATTTTATTTATGCAACGGGCGGCCTTATCGCTAACATTCGATCTCTTACAGGCAAACCTAGAAAGGTAAAAACTGAAATACTAAGGTTAAGGTGCAAGAACCAAATAAAATTACAAGTAACACTGAAAAATTATACAATTGCCAAATTTAATCTAAAATAAAATAATAAAATAAACTAAAAGCTTACTGTTCATGGCTCACAATACAAAATGCAATTTTTGAGTTTTTTACAAATTAACATTTATAGATAAAGTAGAATGAATGGTGTTTTTGTTTAATTAATTGTTATATCAACAGCATCTTTAGTCCAAAAAGACACGCGACATGATTTATTGTTCCGTATTACTAATCACAATCTAGGAAAACGCCATTGTCTAATAATCATGTTACATTCTTATCACAAAACTTTAATTAAAATAATTACCTTACAATTAGCACTTCGTGACAAAAAAATGTAATGGCTGATACCACTTACTTAAATTAAGTGGAATGAAAACTCAAACACTGAAAGAGGTAAGTCTGTAGAAAAATGTCAAAAGGCAAATAAATTCCAACCGCTCGCTGTTTCTGATTGCCTGAGCGACGTTAGTGTAGTATGAGATGTAACAAAAATTTATGAGGTGACAACATTGCAATAACAATGCGATAGACGCATTTTACTTCGTGTGAATCGTTTTAACGACTATTAGCTACGTAGGCCATTCGTTCTATTTCTACGGCAATCGTTCTTTTTTAACTGCGAAACGTCCCGGAAATTCAAATTATGTCCTGAGGCTGTGAAAAAAGTGGTATGCAAGTTGAAACTGAGATGCACGAAGTTACAGTGGTTTGTTTAGGAGTTTTGTAGTTATTTCGATTTATTAAAACTTTTACTTTTACCTGAAATTTATTAGAAAATACCAACAGTTTTTCTTCAGAAATTATGCATTTATTATATAAAAAAAGTATTCGTTAAACTGGATACATCAAATTGCTTCACCATCAACCATATTAAAAAACCCCCAACCTATCAATACCACCAACACCTTTTATGAACATTTGTTATGAAGTTATGGTTCGTACTGCCCTTACCCGTTTAACACCACTTCTGCAATCTAAATGCAAAATGCAAATAATAATATTATTATTATTATTATTATAAATATTATTATTATAAATATTATTATTATGTATTTCCTATGTCTTTATGCGTGAACTCAAAACCGAACTACATTTTTCTTGTCAGCTAGTTAACAGATGTTGTCATCTGGCAGTAGAATTATAGTTGACATGTCCGTGTTTACGTAACCGTGTTTTATTCTTGTTTCCAAAATTTAAAACAGAACAATTTTACTACCATATATCACGTTTATACCGTGGCCACATTAGTATTCCTCATAAAAACAACCGAAATAAGTTCTCAAAGCTAATAAATTTCAAAATATCGATTTAACACGTTTGATTTGTGGCCACTAGTTTCGTTGAGAGTACTTTTAGTGAACAACACGTATAAATTATAAAGTACAGCGCGATTCGCAAAAACAGTGTTGTGATAATAAATAGTATCTGACCACTTTATGTGGTAGAAGTTGAATTATGACGACATTACGCGAAGCGGCGCATTTAATTTTAAATTATGACTCAGTACTTTCACGTTACAACTAAGTAATTAATAGTTAAGCGAATGGTATGGGTTTACATTAAAAGAGAATTGTCCCGTATTATATCTATATATATTTATATATATATATATAAAAAACAGGGCTTTAAAAAACTAAAATTATAAAAAGTCAAAAAAGTGCGTTTCAATTTTTCTATTAAATAAAAAACATTCTTTTTTATTACCTGATTAGTAAATTGATTTTATAATTTTCGTTTTTCCCTTTTTGTAGAGAATTAAATTTCCTACAAGATATCAAAACGAGAAATTTGAAAAAAAAATTTTTTGAGTATTTACAATGAAAATAAAGAAAAAAGTTTTTTTTTAAAGCATTTTAAATGGGAAAGGGGACCCTCTCATGCGCCAGCTCAATTTTCAAGATATCAAGCTCATTTTTAGGAGGTTTTTTTTGTCTAACAAAGAAGCTTTTTAGATATATTTACTCAAAAAAAAAATTTATTTTATTTTGAATCAGTCTAATATATATATATATCTACTCTAACGTTGTGACAAGTTATTGCTGATTTTACTGAGCCTTACATTTCTATGTATCATATTTTCAATTATACTGTTTTCCTCTTTTTACGTAAACGAAGACTCGACGTCAACAATTAATCGTCATAGTCGTAGAATAGTGACGGATCTGACAAATAGTAAACTTTACAGGGCAGCCATTTCAAAATAATATAATCATGTTAGTTTTTATAATAACTATTTTAATTCATATTCTGTTATTTTAAAAATTGGCATACAAGCAAACAACAGAGTTATTTAAAAAAAAATAAAAATAATAATATTAAATTACACAGTTTTCTAGAAAAATGAAATTTTCTATCAAATCCGTCACTTTACCGCCTGATTAATTTAAATTTAAAACACATGGAACTTTTATTTAATTTAGTATCCAAATATGATAAAAAAGTGGATTTTGGATTTATTTCAAATCCGACATTGTTCTACGATCATGACGATTTTACACTAAATGTCAGAGATTATGAAATAAGAGAACGCGATGTCATTTGCTTTATTAGAATGGCAACACGACGCAATATCATAGACATTATGGGCATTATTAATTCAAAATATGATGGCGGGCTTCCAAAACTCCTATCAGAAGTCTCCTACGAGTGTAGATAATACAAGGACGCTAAAAGCGAGATTTTTCTACCTTCGTTTGATCCAGACAATTGTTAATTTGCCACATCTGAATTGTGTGAGGAGATTGAACTTATGAAGAACAATCCGTGGTTGCATTACGATTTCACCCATCTGTAAGGACGTGACAAGAAGTGGGCTGCACATTCCCATTATGTATGTACCCTGGGAAGAGTCCGGCTTGAGAGAGTTACTCTTCAGTTTGTTGGAACAAGGGGTTCCATGACTTTCGCGATACGACCAAGTGGCGACCTATAATGAATATTGCACCAACAAAATGTCTCTGGCTAGGTTCAGGCTGGGGTGAGTCCAATAAAATTGAGGTCGTGATCGCCGGTATCTTGGTTGCGTTAATTATTGGGAGCTTTACTTCAATACCGTGCGTGCCATTGATATCAGAACAAATTGATACTCTTAGGCAAGCATTTTATTTCTCTGATTTAGAGTACCGAAAGGGTAAGATTCCACACGTAGATTACTTGAGCGATAACCGTTTCAATTGCAAGGAAGTGAATGTTTCGCGTGTGAGTAATAAATAGTTGCAAGCCGAACAAGAATAAGTACCATACAAGTCTTTACATATAATTATAATTTGTTTTACGTTTTTATATAAATAATAATGTGTGTGAACTGTGTAATGAGTACACTGTACATGTATACAATGTTTAATGAATTTCCTTGTTTATGCATATAAACACGTTGTCTAAGTCGAAACAAATTAACCGTCTAACCGACTACTTTAAGAAATAAATAATTATTACCGGAAATCAAACTTAGCATCGTAATACTTTAAACTTACGTAAATAGTACGATATGAATTGGGAATTTGAAAAAAAATATTGAAAGGGCATTTAAATATAAATTGGGAGCATGCTACTCTCATCATTGAGGCCTTAGGTTTGAACCCCGGCTGTGCACTAATGGAGCGGTGAAGTAAAATATCGTAAGGAAACTCGAGTTAGACCCAAAGTGTCAACGGCGTGGCACAGAAGGCTGATCACCTATTAGTAGGAGAAGAAAAAAACAAACGATCATTATGATAAATAAAATTTATACCGCCACCTAAGCAAATATGATTAATTATTATAATTAAAACAATTATTCAAAAGGTTATATAAATTAACCTCTGAGTGCCTTTTATACGGTTGATACAAATTTTATTTCAAGAACTACAGTAATTTTAATAGCATCATTATACGCTTGGAAAACTCAGTATAAAATAATCCCCTCAATTTTCAGTGTCGTCTAGACAAAATTGCTCTACTATCGAATAAAATGTCACAATTTATAGTCAATCACATAAAACAACGTAGATTATAATGTGCTCTCAGGGGAATTTTATCTTTCATCTACGATGAGCTTTGATAGAGACTTTATAGCGATTATTATCCGTTATATATATAGATAATTAGTATAGTAAAAAAAATACCGAGTTCAATTCTCAAAAATTATATTTGTACAGCCACGCCCAAATATCTTGTAGTTGCCCGAACCTGGACAGCCAAATCGTGGTCTGGTTGAACTCGTGTATGTAGTTATTCTATTATTATTATAAACGAAGTTTGTAAGTATGGATGGAAGTTTATACACTTTCACGTATAAACTACTGAATGGATTTTAAAGAAACTTTACTATAATATAGTTTATACATGAAATAACACATAGGCTACAATTTATAAAGATATTGTGTGAATTGTCCAAAATATCAAACAAGTGGGAAACAAATCTACCATCTGCGAGCTATTCTGGCGTGCGCTGCCAAAACCGCTAGAGTTACACATATGTAATGTATGATGGAAATGCTTATCTTAAATAGTCATACAAAAAATCCTGCAGTATATATCTGTCTTTTGTATAAGCCGTTATAGCCAAAAGAGTGAACCATAACTACAGTAAAAATTGATAATTTATTTCAAATGCACATTTGGTAGTAATAAATTGATTCCTAAATGAAAATAGATACTTTTATCGCTTCTAGTATTTCAAGTAGATAAAATGTGTCTTTCACGCTACATTATTCGGGCAAATATTATTTTAATCGTTCCCAGACGAAGTTGCGGGCACCAGCTAGTCATTTTTAATTTTAACCAGGCATATTACACGCTTTGAACGACACCGTGTTTGTGTTTGGACATAATGCGTACTTCTATTTTGCCCGATCAGGCTAACCGTTTGTTACTTCATTATCATGATATTTTGTTTCGCATGGCGTAATGTTTGTTCCTTGTACACCAAAACTTGTGGCGGAGAGTTTCGTGCCAGTTCCCACCCGCTTTACGCCCTAGATTTCGGAATTGTTAGTAAGTAAATGTAAATTCAGATCTCGCTTATTTTTAAACATACCATTCACCAATATGATAAAATAAAGTTTGATTTTGCTTTGATGTGTTCTAAGAAGCCCTTCACTTAACAACAAGAGCAAATTTACTAAACTAAGACTTAACTAGACTAAACTAACACCTTTTTGTTTTTACAGAGCATCTGGGACTCAGGCTTGAAACCAGTAAGTGCCGTAAAAAGGCATTTACAATGCTAGAAGACTGCAAAGGTAGGTAAGACTGGTTCCACACCCGTTGGACAGCCATTTCGAAGAATAACGGATATTTAGGTGATACGGGTGAAATCTTATTTATATTCTAGACGTATAACGATAAATTACATAGTCGTCCGATCTCTACCAAATATTCCGAGTGTCACTTCAACCAGAATTTATTTTCCATCCATCTCCCACAAAGAGGAGGAACAAAGGATACAGGAGTAACGAAAATAGAAAGCTTACCTTTCTCTTGAATAATATTAATTTAACTAAATATTTTAACGGTATAGCTCCATTAATATTAACGAAATTGCAAGTTAACTGGACACAGTCTTATCGTGCTTCGAGATACGCTAATTATTACAAATACCTCAAGGGATGGCACGTGAACGGATCCTAATTCCTATTCCATAAGAAATGGGTTCTACTATACAGTGTCTATGGATAGACATAAACATTATGTACTTTTCTTTTTAAAAAGTATAAGCCTATCGGGTAACGTCAAATTGCTATATAGCGATTTCGATCACATTGTGTTTTCGTACCACGTAATTCCCATTTCTTGACATGAGCGCTACGGATTTTGAGAGAATCATATAACATTGAGTTTTGTTATTAAACGTTGACAGAATTGCTTAAATAATAATTGAATCAATGGTTTAAATCTTGGGTCTACAGAAGTTAGTTAGAAGTCTACTTAAGTTTTACTGTTAAGCAATTTTGAGGCCGAGATGAAAAATTAACCGTCGCCGATGTCGCCAAAAAATTCATTTAACGGGCGGTTTGAAATCCTGCGTTTATACTTTATGCATGCGCTTTATGACTTTTTACAATTTTATATAAGATTCATATTTATTTTTAAATTGTCTTTTGTGTCAACCCTGTTTGATTCAAAATAAGTCCTACCTTCGGGTATTTCGGTTGTACTGGTAAGCTCCTAAATATGCTGGGCTATTGAATTCAATATGAGAATTACTGGAATTTGCATACAACCTTTATGAAAGTCTGGATTCAGAAACAAGATTTGTGTATTTTGTGTTCATAATAGTTTTATATTTTGAACGTTCATTGTTACAGCTAAGCTGTAGTTTAATACATGGGTGTGATTAAAATATTGAACTAGCTAGAACTATTCGGGTAATTAATTAATTTTATTTATATACTAGCTGACCCGGCAAACGTTGTTTTGCCATGTACATATATTATCTAGGAAACATTTTTTAGTTCAATAAAAATAACTATCTACTATAATAAAAAAAAGGGTTTAATCGTAGAGGGGTGAAAATTTAGGGTTGTATGTATTTTTTGATGGCACTTTATAAAAAAATTATAATTTCGTCCAAAAAATAATAATAAAATGTTAGGGGTGGACAACCCTTATGTTGGGGTATGAAAAATAGATAGTAGCTGATTCTCAGACCTACTGAATATGTATATAAAATTTTGATAAAAGATCAGTTGAGCCGTTTCGGAGGACTCTGGTAACTAACTAACACGAGAATTTTATATATAAGATAATACAAAACCAAACAATTTATGAAACACAGAAGGCAATGGATAACATACAACGATTGTAGGCACCCAAATAAATGTAAACTGAATCCTAGACAATTTTAAGAATATATTAAAATATACTTGTCATAATAGAATAGAACGTGATGTCATTTGTTTTATTAAAATGGCAACACCACACAATACTCTTACAGGTTGTAAATTGTCAATGTGTAAACGTTAATTTGTCAGTAGTGCGTTGGGTCAACGATCGTTGAGTTCAGTTGCTCTCTGATCTGAAATTAAATTCAAATGTCGAACGACGCTATCTGGCTAATATTAATCGCTTCGAATCTGCGACATAAATAATTTTGTACAAATATGTATTAGATATTTTATTCCTCGCTACACTGGTCTATATATAATATATTTGCAGTAAAGAGAAGGTTTTTAATCCTAATAAATATGCAACCTTGAGTCTCCGCGCTTACGTGTCGAGTAAAAAGTGATAAACGAATGTCATAAATCTCGAAATTACGGTCCCAGTGTCATCTTCACTATCGCATATAACAGGATTAAGAATTTTAAATTGTTACATATATTTGATAAATGTTGTCTTTGGTTAAAGTCACATAGTAATAAAAACTCTTTTATAGATTTAGACACCAATTACAAAATAGTCAAACTAATAATAATAATAATTTATTTTCTCAAACAAAAAGATTACACTTAAGAAGGAAATGTGTAACACATTTAAAACAGGACTATTTTAAAGTACAAAAGAAACGTCGAGTTCCTACTTTTTAAACATTAAGGTAATTATTATGAAAAATAGAATGGAAGTAAATAGAAAATATACAGCAGAAATTTGAATATACTTAGAGTCCTTTAAAAAAAGAGCGTACCAATTCAAAAATGGCCGGCAACGCACTTGCCAGCCTTCTGGCATTGAGAATGTCCATGGGCGGCGGTGTCACTTAACATCAGGTGAGTCTCCTGCCCGTTTGCCCCCTGTTCTATAAAAAAAGCACTTAAAACATTGTTTATATATTGTCGCGGTTGTGTTCGTTAAAGATTCATTTAATGTACCCAATAGAAAATAAAAGTAAACGCATACATCTTTTTTTTAGTAAATGACAAAAGAATGTCTTAATTTTAATTCAAAACTTTGCGAAGCTGAAAAATATCTTGAAAGTTCTTTGAAAACATCCCGGTATATGTAAACGAAATTCGTCTACATTCCTCGCTCTCTTAGGACAAAGAACCTAAACGTAATATAATTATACGGAAACGCGGAAAATTTACAACTTCTTAGGATTTAGATTTATAGTGTGTACAAATGGTGAATTTAAAATAGGTTTCAGTTTTGAAAGGTATCGAGGGAGTGGGTTTGTAGGAATAAATTCATTTTCTTAAAAACTCGAATATCTTTCTATTTCCTAGCAAAGATTTGAATTTTCACACGATAGTTTATTAGTTTATAACAGGTAAAATTTGATCTATTCAACGGAGTTGCAAGTTTGAAAATTACATTTCAGAACTCAAATATTGGTCACATAATTAGCCATAACAAACAAAAATCAATTCAATTTAGAAGCCTAAACTGACTAGCATACACAGTCGTTGAAACTATGCAATAGTATTTATATGTAGACCATTAACCACAAAATTTAGCTTTTCATTTATTTAAAAACATGCTTAATCAGCTTTGATATTAAGAGAAATCAACACATTTATTAGCTTGAATAGTTCAGTGAAATACATAAAACAGCATTCATTTTCATGAAAGTCATAAAATATTAATATGTCGTTATTTCCTAAATTACTGTTTCAGTGTGAACGTGACTCTATTACGTGTTTTGATAAGTTTTGCATATAAAAGAGATTCACATCGTAATACCGCAGTTTTACATTCATTTTTATACTTTAGTAACTTCTGAAAATGATAAGTCTGACATTAGTTTTGATTCACATACAATTGTTGTTGAATTTCGGGTTTGAATTCCAATAGAGCCGAAATTATAAAATATGCGGTTGCCTATAAAAAAAAATCTATGGCAATACGTGGTTTTGTATAACTACCCAAAACAACCACGTGTCCATGGTTGGCTTCATTATTTCAATATTAGCTACCGTGGCCGAATACAAAAACTTAATAATATAATAATACGATAAATAAGTAATACAACTTCGCATTTCCAGATGTTTCCTTTTCCATACTCTCTGGTATTCAGAAAGTCGAGTGGTATGTCTTCTTAAAAGACTTTGAACACAGACAGTATTACTATATAAAGACATCACTGGCCACTTTGACCTCAAATATCTCCTCTTTGGTTGGGAATTCCAAATTCAAATTTTTACAGCTATTTATTCGTTTTTCGAAAACCAGATTCGTTTCATTTTCCCGTTTTCATTTTTTTCTTTGCGTCACTCTGTTCATAAAAAGGAAAACATGAAATGAATGGTCCCATCCGAATGGTTTTTAGTAAAGGGATCAATGAACTACCTATTAGATATTATATTGCATAGATAGCAATGGTACATACTTTGATTAATTAAGTATATTCCATTAAAAAAATCTACATTTTGTTCCTCTCATACACAACGCCCATTTCATATGTAACCTAATATCTGATAATCGAAGCATAGCGAAAAATAATTTTAAATTCATGCTCATCGTAACTAACTATAAAATAGTAATCAATGTATATATACCTAAAGTCATATGTTTGAAAGTAATCATAAATATATCTATATTATATCATATATAATAAAAATATGTTTCCAGTTGATACATACTATATAATTAAAAACCAAAATGATATATAACATAGAAAGACCATAAATTTTGAAATCCTAACCCAATTGAATTTAAACCGCATTAGGTGCCATGCGGTTTATATAAATTCCCCGGGAATTATATCTATGTTATTGCCGATTGATTATTCGACTTGTTCAGATAGCCCTTGTACATACTTAATTGAGAGAGAGGTTATGTGTCTCGAGATTAATTTAAATCGCCCTTCAAAATATTAGACTTGACTCCCGAAATACAAAGAAAATCTTGACCCGTCTCGGAATACGTACTTCAAGGAGTCCTCAAAGCTTATTTAACTTAAGATCTCGTCGATATTGCCGTGAGCGGACAATCTTGCTACTCAATTGTGACATTTGAATCCAATTAATATGGACTTTAGTTTTTGTAAATATTAAAAAAAAAAAAAAAAAAACTGTGGCGCTACAACCTCTTTAGGTCTTGGCCTCAGACTTCTGAATCTGTTTCATGATCATTTTTAAATTTTAATAGGCAAGTAGGTGATCAGCCTCCAGTGCCTGACACACGCCGTCGACTTTTTGGGTCTAAGACATGTCGGTTTCCTCACGATGTTTTCCTTCACCGTTCGAGCAAATGTTAAATGCGCACATAGAATTCATTGGTGCATTCAATCCATTGGTGCACAGCCGGGGATCGAACCTACGACCTCAGGGATGAGATTCGCACGCTGAAGCCACTTGGATAATACTGTTCCAACAACTTCTAAACTACGAGGGTACTAATAAAAGAAGCTTGTGGATTTAGTTGTGTCTGCATGTCTTTGCTATAACATTTAAAGTCCTTATTAAATATCCTATTTTGTTGTAATTCACCATTTATACTAATTGATACCCTGCGTGTATAAAAACACATTTATTACACATACTACATGCAATTTCCACATACAATTACGAAAGGCACGTTATGCAAACATTTGATTTCTGCAATTAAATTGAAATATTCCATCAGTTGTAGAAATGTAATTAATTTTGAAATGTTTCTTACGTTTTCTCAGCTCCTGATAGTTTTGATTAATTCCATTGTTTTTACTCAGTTTTGTGTTAAAGGTAGTGTAAATATTGTATTAATTATGTCATATATCAACGCCATGGTGGTAAAAATGACTAGATAATACAAATAAAATTCGATTAATTTAATAAAAATAAAATATTTTCCAGCCGTCACCAACCCAGATGATAAATACTCATTTGTAGCACTTTTAGAGTAAGTTTTTTTGTCTATAAATTGTCTCTGCAGAAATAATATTAACATTTCGATTTAGCCTAACTTAAGACTAATAAGTAATTTAAACCCTATTTTACTAAAAAGGATATTCAACATACAAATATGTCCAATTACACTCCCTACTGTCGCCATTACAGTCTCACTGTGTTCTTGTGTACTATATATATTATGCACTATATATGTTATAATAAATAATTACGCATTTAATCTTCATTCACATGTGCGTACCGAGGTTTGCACTAATAGAAATTTATATTTAAATAATTAACACTGGCTAGTAAAGTAATCGCGAGAGGCCGACATAATTAAACTATCTAAATGTACCATTTTCTTCACAAATAAACGATTTATTATTATTATTCAAGTACATTAAGTAAAGTAATAATGTTCTGTAGTAGAAAAATTTAGTTTAAAGTTAAGCAATGACCACTTAGCGCTGCTCAGTTGTTTATATAACCCACCAACGACATACACAATTGTTAATAGCAATATAAATTATATTACAATAACAGATGATTGTCCACCGTTATCAAGTTACTAACTATATATCATACACTAAGACTGCAAACTTTGTAACAAACAAAAACAATGTAACTAAGTACATATACTTGCAGCCGTCAGCACTGAAGTGTTTTCAAAACCAATTCGAGTTAGGCTCTTCCAAGAAAAGAGCGTACTCTTAAAAGACCAGCAACGCACTTCCAAGCCTTCTGGCAATGTGAGTGTCCATAGGTATCACTTAATATCAGATGACCTTCCTACCCGTTTGGACACTGTTATATAAACTTGATTCTTGTTGAGTAAAAAACACTATAAGTAGGAATTATATTCAGACATCAATGCAACATTATCCGTCGATTATTTTTCAGTATCGTTTTAACGGATGCCGGCAAGAGAACATGCACTGGGACCATTATTCACGACACCGTCGTTATCACAGCCGCACACTGCTTGTTAGTACCCTGTTATGTTTAATGTTTTAAATTACGCGGCTTGACTCCGCCATTTTTTATATTAAACACGATTGGAGCTAAGCAAACCGCGACCAATAAATGTCGTGTGATTTATATTCAATAGTTAAATTTTAAGTCTATCTAGATATGAATATTGAGCATGAGCGTAATAGCATGTACAGTATATGAGTATTGAGTACATAATTAGTGAGTTAGTCTAGCCCAAGAACTTTTGCGTATGAACCATGTGACGTTACTATTGGGAAAATGATTAAGTGAAATCTAGCGAGAGACAGCTAATTTACGGAACTCGGAAATTCTTAATTATTAAGACTTATTGGTCATAGATGTATATAGAAAACTAGCTCGGCAAACGTTGTTTTGCCATGTATATTATTTCTAGGAAAAATTTTTTTAGTTCAATAAAATTTAAAAATAACTATCTACAATAATAAAAAATAGGGGTAGATCGTAGAGGGGTAAAAATTAGGGGTTGTATGTATTTTTGTATGCTGTATCATAAAAAGACAAAACAAAAAAAATCGTCTAAAAAAAAATGTTTGGGGTGGACACCCCTTATCACTTAGGGGTTTGAAATATAGATAGTAGCTGATTCTCAGACTTACTGAATATGCATAAAAAAATTCATAAGAATCTGTCGAGCCGTTTGGGAGGAGTATGGGAACGAACATTGTGACACGAGAATTTTATATGTATAGAGATATTCATTACGCACACTAATTAAGTACGTTTAATAATAATTAATACACGTACATTAGATTTTCATGACTAGGAGAAGACGAGCTCACAATAAGTAATTTTAGGTGAAAATGTGAAATTACGCAGCGTGTTTAAGACTATTTTTGTTAACTTTAAGTATAATGCGTTTTTAGTACCCGAGAACCCGATGATGAGATCCAAGTTGAGCTGACAGCGTGTTTTGTAGTTATTGGTACAAAGAAGATGTTCGACACTGGCTACGAACAATACTTTCCTATTGAACGGGTCGTTATTCACCCAAAGTACAAGGGATGGACCGCTGATTTGGCTTTAGTATTCACCTTTGCGAGTATGGTCTCTGATAAGCCCGGAAGAACCGTGCCATTGGTCAGCGATCATATGAAGACGGTTGTGGACGCGAATGTGACGGTGCTCAGCTGGGGACATTGTAAGGATGAAGATCAGAATAAGGTACGCAGAAAAGTCCATTGACCCCTTACGTAATTTGCTTTTCTTTTGTTATATATATACTATTTATGCTTCGGCATTCTCGTTCTCTTCATACCTTTATCATAAAAAGGAGCATTATTAATAGAGCATCGTATGGCTATTTTATTTTCAATCTTGACCAATAAACCTTGAAAATTATATACCTACCGTTACCATGAATCATTATAGCGGTGAAATTCGTTCATGTCTGTTAAGCTTAGGTTTCCTAGAAAAGCGGTGCCGTTATCTAACGGCCGTAATGTAGCGTTGGGTGACGTCACCCATACGTTGTCTTTAAATAACATCGGACTAGGTTTCCTAGAGAACGTTGAGTGTCACCGTAACGTCAAATAGTGGTGCTGTCATTTATATGACGGCCGTCATAGTGGTGATAAACATTAGTTCAACGTTTTTCGCGTGTAGCGGTGCCCATATTTAATTAATACAATGAGTGGAAACGTGACTTGGACGAGCGAAAATGATTGCTTTTTTGCATTATGTTAAAAGTAAAGACGGCCGTTAGTAACCGGCACCGCTTTTCTTTCTAGTTTTTATATAATATAAAAGTTAGTGCTGTCACTAGGCATTATCAAGCTATACAACTGTTCTCTCTAACTCAATCATATATCTCCCATTGTTAACGCAGCGTTCGTGAAAAACGTTTTCGGTCGACCGTTTTCCCCAACTTTGCTTTGCTGACCACGAAAATGTCTGTTATGATTCTCACAAATAACCTGGCTTTCTAATGGAATAGGATTTTCAAAATTGGTTCAATAGATCCAGAATTTGCCCCTACCACCTGACAAATTCATTCAATTTCCTTTTAATATTAGTGTAGATTTAATTAGATTATTTGTAATTATAATAAAACTTTTTAATTATTGTATATAGCTTTACACTAATAGTCAAATAATACAAATCATTATACGTTTGTAGTAAGGCAATAAGAGATTTAATTGTTCGTTATTAAATTTTGTTTTCTCACCGAGATATTGCTCAATTTCCCAAGAACTTATTGACACAGCCCTTTGTCTTCCCTTTGATTGTAAATATTCGAATTGATTAAGCTTAAAGATTGTCCGAATCATTTTGTGATTTTAATTAAATTGATTGAAGATTATATAATGACAATAAGTAGAGTATGATTTCTTATTCACAAGAATATAACTAGTTTTTAATATTTATTTTTTAAAGTAAAACACACTTATCAACTAGTATTAATCACTATTTAAGTATACTTTTTGTGTACACATAAGGTACATTATTAAGAAAGACAATACGGTTACTAAATGTATTTAACATAAAAACTATTAACATATATTTATACAATGTTCTCACAATAAGTAACATTTATCTCAAATTCTATATTAAAGCAATATACCCTACTACCTTTTGACCTCATCGAACTAACAAATGGTAACCGTGTGTAAGGACACAATTTGCAAAGCAAATCTAGTTCATTCTCATCATTAGCAAAATTTGTTATGCTACCATTTTTGTACAGTAAATTAATTTCCTGCTAAAATATTTTCAGTAAAAATAAATAATGTAAAAATGCTGTTTCTAAATCTCTAAAAAGCCTTGATTTAACAGATTTTTTTTATCCATAGCCATTTCAGGTAGACTTTTAATTAAATTAAAAAAAAATATTTATTAAGTTTTTTTTTGTTACTTTAGTTAAGTCATAGTATGTAGTCATCTCTTTATATATTGTCTATCCGCGATGGAAGGCACAGGTGACCTGTTACCACAGGACTTCTATAGTCCTATTATAGGCACCAGCCTCTCACAAAGATGGTCAATTCCTGCAGCATGTAAACTTGGAAAATGGAATATTATAACGAGGCAAATTTTATTATTATTAAACTAAGTAACTCACTCATGAACGTCAGTATAAAAAATAATTATAAAAAATTATACTTCTAAATCTAGGACGTAGAACGGATGATTAAAATTGCTAATAAATGCTTAATTACATAATTAAAATGGTAAAAAATAAATAAGAAAAACATAACAATCAAGGTGGAATAGGAGCACGCACTTACATTATTGCAGGATCAACACGCAAACTCCTAGTATCAAGGTGAATCAAGGTAGAATTAATTAATTTATACCCGTACAAATACGAATTCAACCAAGACCTTAAATGATGGAGAAAAACTGCTTAAAAATTGGGTTTATTTATTCCAGCACACAGCAACTATACAGCAACTTGAAGAGACAGGAAGCAGTAGCACGTCGCATGAAGCTGTAGACCAACCTACAACGGTACATAATATCCTGTTTCCTTTTACTAAATATTGGAAAGTTTCGTTAAATCTTCACATGTACTATTCACATGTGGATTTAATCTTTCTCCAAAAAAATAAAAAAAATATTGGCCATAGTTTCAGAAAATGCACAACAATTTGATACAAATTAGTAAGGCGGTTTCCTGTTTGTTTAGAAGCATTGTATAAGCGTATGATGTCGATCTGAACCACCGCCGCTATTCTCGAAATGAAACTCGGAGTGGAGTTTTAATTGTTACCGTTTATTGGTCGAACGTTAGTGATGGTGACACAAAATAATATAGCGAAGCAAGCTTATAACTAACGTCCGTCCGGCACGGCTGCGTAAATCTATCTGGTTATACAAATAATAACTTAAACTTATCCTAAACTACCACGCTGGTCAAAGGGACCGACCGACCCTTCCGCTACCTGCGCACCCGCCGACCGTTTCCAAGAATAACATCTGGCTTGCAGCTTCGTTCGTCGGCTATCTAAACTGTATTGCTCGTTGTCCGTAACACATTATAACAGGAGAATTCGATATAAATATACCCAGTCGTATTTGCTAGGATTATGACTGAAATATGTAAAGTTTATAAGCTCATTTCAGTGTTATGATCTAGTATTTTACCAGAGAATTTTAATAAACCTTTCATGGGTCCTAAAATTCAGAAACTATTACATTAATTATTACTTTATAGGTCTTTTGTAACTGATTGTCATCGATTTTGGAATTTGTATAAGGCAGTTCATTCTCAAATCTCTTAATTGTATGATCAATAAATTGCGCGGATAGAAAGAAAAATCTATTGAAATATTTTGAATAGACAAGACATCTCGCATTAACTACAACTAGTTAAAGTTATTTTTTAAATAAAGAAAAAATATTTTTATTTGCGAATCAAACAAAAATTTGGATGTCTCGAAAAATAATATTTTTATCCAAGACTCAATCAAGGCTTACAGTTCGATATTAAAATTCAATATTCCTTATTTCAGAAAAGTAAAAAGAAGAAAAGAATGAAGCATAAAACAAAAGGAAAACGTAAACATAATTCCTACGAATTAATAAGGGTTTGTATAGAGAAAATATTTCCGGTTGCCTCTATTAACAGAAACGACCTACTTCTGACCTCTCGGTTCGTAAATTAAAATGGCTAGACTTCAAAAAGTCTTAGATATTTTCACAAAATCTAACCTTTTCGATATAAATAACGATAAGATAAACTTTTTTCTCAACTCCTAAAGTTCTTTTGTGAGACAGATTTTTGAGAAATTTATCAAACTGTTGTGTAATGGATGTGTAAATATGTGTGTTTGTGAAATTTATTTTTCTGTTCGAAGTTGCAACGGGGCTTGGGGTAGACACATATAAATGTTAGTCACATGCATTTTTAAACCAACCGAGCCTTCTGGCAATGTAAGTGTCCATGGGCGGGGCTTGTATCACTTAACATTAGGTGAGCCTCTTGACCGTTTGCCCAAAATTATATATATATATAATTTTGGGATATAAAATGCTTGATTGCTGAACATAATGATTTACCAATTAACTCAAAATAGTTTTTGAAATTATTTATTTTTATTACCTACCGTTATAATTAATGTAAATGAGCTTGTATGCTAAATTGTCCAATTCTATGATAAACTAATTCCTTTGCTAAAAGAGTCTGTCTTAATTCGCCCTGTCATGGCGTTATGACATTGTCATTGTATTAACATTTCATATTTTAAGTACGTTGTTTTTGTTCCTAGTCATTCAGTTCCACTATGTTTTTGTTAAGTGTTTATTGTGTATATAGAAATAAACTATCTACTAACTAAGTATTTCGGCCATACAATGCGCAAAGGCGATAAGAACTGAAACTGATCGTGGTTGGTGACACAGAAGGCAAAAGATGGCCGTTCATCAGCCAGATGGACCGATCAAGTGAAAGACTTATTGTCCTCAAAACTGTACACTGCCATAAAAAAGGCGCTGGATAGAAACCAGTGGAAACAGATAGTCCGCTCCAGATACTTCCTTGCTGACCACAACGCTCAGACATGAGCTGCCGATTAAAGAGAGAGATCAAGTAAAAAAATGGTTGGTCTCAACAAAAAATCCATACATATTATTACATGCTAAGAGAAAAACCCCTAGAAGATTTACTCTAGAGAAAACAAATGAAAGTGCATCCTTTAAAATATCCTATTATCTGTAAAACATACAACAATTTGTTTCGTCCTAGAAACATTCACCTTAACACGTATAAAAACCACTTACCTTCTTACACCTTATGCAAGTATTTTCCTTATTCAAAACGTCTATCGTAGAAGCATTTAATTATTTTTAACAGCTTAGAGAGATACTTATCGCTGCGACAAAAAGGCGTGCGATTATTTTATACAGAATTACTTAGAACAAGGAAATCCTTTTAGTGCTGAGTACTCGAGTATTTCCGCTATAGGAGACAATTGAGTCCCCATTGTTATAAATTAGCGTTCAAATTGAAATTGCTTTCATTATTCTAATTCGCATTTGCTACTAGTTTCGTTGCTCCATATTGTCTCATACGTGAGGTAACTAAAATCAATATTACGAACGGTGTTTCAAATATAATACGAAGACTAAACTGAACAAAGGACTAAAGTGGTTAAATTCCTGGAGCAATTAAAAATATATTTGCAATTTGTTTTGCGTCTCTAGCGGGTTATGAAAAACGCGCCACGGTGAAATTTTAGTGATACGTCAAAGAGATGGATGCCATTACGTTGAATACCTGGACCTGACTTTGAGATGTCTAAAGCTTAAATATTTTTTTTCGAAATTTGCAAAATGCGGGACATATTATAGTGACGGAATCAAACATACACATATATACACAATTTGAATACTCGGGATTGCATCCAAAAATATGTTTTTACACGATAAATGAAATAAACGATGAGACGCGATATTTTTGATCGGTGGCTTAATTGTTAGCGCACGTATGTTATCAGTCCTGCGTTCGATTTTCATCAAAACGGCAATAGTTTGGCCTTGTATTGACGATGGCGGCAACCGGACCTCATCTAATTTCCAAATAATATATAGCTTTAGCAAGTAACGCTTACCTTCTTCAGGATTTCAAGAACCAAACTTCAGATTCTTACGAAGACTATGAGTTATCGAACTTGGCTACAAAACGCACGTTAACCGTAAGTAACAATACACAGTCATATTTATAACTGTACCAAAACTCTTACTAACAATAATAAAATTAAAATAAATTAGGGGTGCTACAACCTTTTTAAGTCTGGGCCTCAGATTTCTGTATCTGGTTCATGATCATTTGTCAATCTAATAGGCAAGTAGGTGAGCCTCCTTTGCCTGACACATGCCGCCGAATTTTTAAGGCAATCCGGTGTTCTAACGATGTTTTCCTTTACCGTTCGAGCGAATGTTAAATGCGCACATATAAATAAAGTTCATTGGTATACAGCCGAGGTTCGAATTTACGACCTCAGTGATGATAGTAGCACGCTGAAGCCACTAGGCCAACATTCTAAGGATAGAACACTATTCTAGGATAGAACACTATTCTAGGATAGAAGGGTTACATATATTTGTTTGTTGAGCTCCTGCTCTATTAAATTTGCCTACGAAAAAATACCTAGGAATTCGCGTGCACTCAACAGGAACACACAAATATTAATCACAATAAAATATATAATATAATATAAAATATATAATAATATATAAACTAATTATATACCGTTTTAATTTCTCTGTAACTAATTTCCTCTTTTCATCTCAGCGTAAGCACAATTTGGCAGAAAGGGCGAAAGAAACCTTGAGTTAAGAGTGTAATTAGACTGATTGGTAATGAATTAAGGTGCAAGTTTTTTTATATTTAACCTCTTTGAGTAATGTCTACAGATTCACGCTCTATAATCTATTATTTTTTATTCACTATTCACATTTCGAATATAAAACGCCTTGTATCGGGTGCACGGCTGGCATTGTCACACTAATTGGATCGCTCAATGGAGCATTGTGCGGTCACAATAAACCATACCTGTGAATAATGAGAAGAATCCTTCCTTTAAAGACTAGATAATTGAATAAAAAGCACGTCATACTGGTAATGGGTATTTTATAACTGAATTTAAAGCCAAGAACTTGTTTTTCTCGGTTTTTATGTTCACGAGATATTTTTTGCTCTCTGTATTTTGAGACGTAGGTGATCCTATAATAAACACCTCGTATATGTCATGACTCTCTTGTTTGATGTGATGGAAGTTGAACACAATCAATTTTTTTAAGTTCTTACTGATTTCGTCTACAGACTTGACATCGGCGAATAATCTCTATGGAGACTACAATCTATTGGTCACTAACGTGCGTCACGACCGAAATATTGCTTGATCAGCGCCAGTATTCTGTAACCTCCAATAGCGGGATCCATCCCGACGTTTTTGTATGCTTTTAGATCTTGTTCTGTCATTTTTTTTAAATGTAACAGTGTAGCCACAGGCTAACCTGATGTTAAGTGATACCGCTGCCCGTAATGGACACTCACATTCCCAGATGGCTCGCAAGTGCGTTTCTTACCTTTTAAGAACTGGTACGCTCTTATTTTTCAAAGACCCCAAGTTGAATTGGTTCGGCAATACTTTAGTGGCCATCTCTATATCCGTAGAGCTGCTTCCGCACGGTACAAAACCTCATCATAAAAGTCTGTATCTCTATCACGACTGGGAGTTACAGAGTACATGCGCAGACGCAGGACGTAGGTTTACGTGCTTTTCCGATGCGCGATTTTTGAGAGGAACATCGAGCATTCTGAACAGTTTGATTAAAGTACGGAGTGCCATTTTTGGTCACTAAAAACGCTATAAGATTAAAAAGTGCGTTGCCTTTATTAAAGTAGGCCATCCTCTCTTATTTCAACACGTAAGTTTTACTTCACTCATTTCATATGATTTAAAAAAAAAATATTATCCAAATCATACACATTGTGTTTAGAAATGTCCGTTCATTTATGTCCGTATGTCTGTTCGTTCACAAAAACAAAAATATTTTTATATCATCTGTCGAAGTAGACATGGGGAAAACTTGTTTATGCCAAAAATAAATCTGAAATCTTATAGGAAAAACATCTTTTGTATGGCAATCAAGGTTTATAATAATTTAACAAAAATATTTAAAGATCTTCCTACTAGAGTTTTTCAAAAGCTTATTAGAATGCATTTCTTGCCTTTTTCTGTATTTCATACTCCAGGTCAATCTCCGATGTTTTTATAAACCACGGATAGTTGGATATTTGTTTCAAGATGTATTTTGAACCCTCTGTATGATACTTATGTTCGAGTCACACGCCAAACCCCATAGTTGAATTCCGTTTGTCCAACCTCCCGTATGGTTTCAAGACCATTTCGTAGATGAGTATCTTATTATAATATATCTAAAAACATTTTTACAGGACTCCCCAAGTATAATGTCAAAATTGGATATTCGTAAACATAGAAGCGCGTATCTCCAAACAACAGGCAATGTAATGTCGTATTACAAAAATAATTGGCGTAGGAAAATGGGAGCGCAGGTGAGTGGCTTATAAATATTTTGCTTTTAAATTTTATTGACACAATAAATCAAATTGTATTTTTTGTTTAATAAAAAATATTGTCCGTACGTAGGATAGTACTTGAGTCGTTCTATAAAAACGAACGGTTAAGTCATTTGTCATTTAAGTGCAGTTTAGTAAAGCAGTATTGGCCCCAGTGGCTTCAGCATGCGAAATTATCCCTGGGGTCATAGGTTCCCCAGCTGTGCAGCAATGGACTTTCTTTCTATGTGCGCATTTATTCACTCGAACACTGAAGGAAATCATCGACAGGTAACCGGCTTGTCTTAGCCCCTTTGACAACTTTTGTCAATAGACAAATGATCATGAAACGGATACAGAAATCTGAGGCCCAGACCTAAAAAGGTTGTAGTGCCTTTTTATTATTACTATTAACTTCACTATAGATCCAATAAGAACTTATAAAGATCTTTCAAATTCGTATAATTTTACTACTTACTCATAGAAAAATGTAAAACAATGCATTGTCATTTTGGTTCATATTTAGAGATCTAAATTGGTGATAAGCCCTCTTTGCCTCATACGATTTTTTAGTATAGGTCTCTGACGATGTTTTTGCTTTCCATCCGAACAAGGAATTGCGCACATAGATAAAAATCAATTGATGCATATCCCGAATATGATTACAAATTCGGGTTGCAGGGTTACAAATTACGGTAACATCACTAGACCTACATCGGTTCCGTCATTAAATATTATTACTATAATTTTGAAAATATTATTATAATATTGTTTTGGTAGTGAGTTTATTAAATTTGGTAATAAGGCGGTAATACAATAGTCTAAGGTTTTTTTTCATAAAGATTATTGTATCTAGGTAATAGTAATTCGTTTTTTTTGTTGAATAGTGTTAGTGAGTTTTATGTATTAAGGTTAACACATAATTTACCGTATACAATTTTATCTACAAAGACTCGTATAAAACATTAAAAAAAAGTTAATGTATCACATATAACAGATATTAAAGTTCACACTTGATATAAGTTTTAATTAAATTCCACAGCAAAATAAATTAACAATTGAAGTCTTCGGCTTCGTTAACGTTGCCAGTTGCAAAAAAATTATAGAAAAGGGAAAATCGACTGTGTATCGGATACGTGAGTATTTTACGTGAAGTTTTAACTCGAAAAGTTCTTTACATATCATAAATCATAGTACTTGAGTCTTTTGACGGACGAGCTCATGTATTTTGAAATATATTGGAATATTCCATTTATGAACTGAGTATAAGTTATAATGTATACATATTTTATGTAGTTTTTATCGCATGAATAAATTTTAATATTTTAGCCGTAACATGATAAAATGAATGACTTTTAAGTACTGTAACCACGTCAATCGTGTTTCATTTATCATTTTTATGAGAAAGTAGGTATACCTAAAGTATTCGCCATTTATTACCAAATACCTAAGCGATGGTAACGGTGATTAATATGCATAATAAATATCTATTATTTCATAAATGCGAAAATCTTGTATCTTTTTGTAGTTAAATAGGAAAAAATTTAGTCTTCTCCAGTTTGAATCATTATATTGTAATGTCTCGATTTCAGACACAAGAGTGTTGCGTTACTGCTCGAGAAATATATTTAAATATATTTCTATTCTATTTTAATAATAATTATAATATAATTATATATAGTTATAAAATAATTGTTTTTATTCTATTTTAGAAATTTAGTCTTCTCCAGTTTGAATCATTACATTGTAATGTCTCGACTTCAGACACAAGAGTTTTGCGTTACTGCTCGAGAAATATTCTCGCGACCGTAAAGTGCGTCTCCTGTGCCGGACGCACAGCTATAATAAGTGTTGCTAAGTTGCACCATTATTAATATGTAGAAGAAAAACAGTCGAGGATAAGATTTAGCCTTATGGAACTCCAGCATTCACGGAATAAGCTGTGTAGACGATGATGTTGATGTTCCGATCAGCCAGAAAACGGGGAATCCGCTTCAAAAGAAGTGCTTTGTGCCACATGTCCAAACTAACCCCCTGTGCCTCCCCCTAGGACTCACTTGCCTCTGCATATGAGTTAGGTATTAGGTCACCAGTTGAGTGATCAGCCCTGTAGATACTTTAAGAGCTGGCATTTCTATTATATTGATATAAAGGAGGCATTTCGTGTGTTAGTTTTGAGATAAAAAATAATGTTAAACTATTTTATCGTTGTACGATGAAAGTATACCTTGAATAGTTATTATTTTATTTATTGATATTTTTTTCAGAGAATGTAAATGAAATAATATGTTATACGAGTGAAGATCGCTACGTAAGCGCCGTAAGTACAACAAAAATACTTATTTTTATGCAATCTCGAGTCGAGATCGTAGAAGCTAAGATAACTTTTCGTTCTATGATCTATACTTCGTACGTTTCATCAATTTGATACGTTTTTGTTCTTTATTCAAAATTGTCATAAATGCTTCATCACGCGAAGTGAGTCGTTAGTAAAATTTCAATATTTAATTTAAAACAAGCGCTATTGTGTTAATAAGATTAAATTAATGAATAATATACATCTGATATTCTCGTGAAAAATCATGAAAATTGACTTAAAACGAAAATCGTATTTATATTTAAAAGGCGGGTCGATCTGTTAACTGATAATTTTACTTTATCCTCTCATATTTTGAAGATACTCCTCGACTTCCTCCGTCTGATATGAATGTGACATGGTGTAATTTCTTATTAATGTTTTGGTAATGCTTTTTATTGTTTGACTGTAATAATTAATAATAATAATTAATCCGCAGTTATTTGTATTTTTTTCAAACGAACGACTTTTTATGGAGTATAGGCCTTCTCCAACTAGCTCCATCTCTCTCTATCTTGGCAATTTTCTCCCAATCTTCCTCACCAACTTCTTTAAGTTCATCAGTTTGACTACAATAAAACGTTTATAATTGAAGAGAATCGAAAATATCTAGCCAAAATTAACCAAATCTATTCGAAGATTGAAGCTAGGAATCATAATCTATGACTCTTGCTCGGCTTTGAAGGTAATCATAGAGAGACTCAGATATGAGCACGAACTATGACTTCCCTATGTCAAAATCCAATAAATTTTTGACTTACGAGTCACTCTAAACTAAGTCTCGTTTCTGAATCTTACCCAAGAATCACATCAGTGTCCCCGTCATCTATATAAGGAATATTTATACTTTGCGAAAATGAACACACGATGAAATAATAAACTTAAATTTCTGCGATTTTAATATACAATGATGTTGGTTTTCGCTGTTTGTAAATTGTTTTATTTGGTACGTAATTAATGTGGTTTCATTCGCTTCGTTTACGCGTACATTTTGTATTACTGATTTTACCTCTTTACAAAGTAAAATGTTAACCATCTTCATTTTCGGAGTCACTCGTATATGTTATTTCTTTAATGATATAATTTGCGTTTGTAGATATTAATTTTATTTAATACTGAATGAAGCTTATTTACGTTTTTTAAATTTTTTTAATTTATTTTAGTCAGTATATTTCTAGGGATGCCTGGTACAAATTGCTTATTACCAATAAGGCCCCCTTACTATTAACTAACCTTTTCTTTAAATATGTAAAGTAACGAAGAGGAAATATATAAATTGATATTTCGCCCATTTTTAATGAATAATAGACACAAGTACCAAAGATTAATACTGTCAACCAACCACAAACCATACTTTACAAAGCAAATATGTAAACCCAACACTCCAACAGATTTTTAAATTTAAGTTAAGTTTCATAATATTCTCCATGAGCCCCCACCCATTTACGGTAGACGTACTGGATTAAGGAAACAGTGAGAGAGACATGACAGAGAGTGGCAAAGTGCAGAGAGAAGTAGGACGTAGATTTGGAGGATGCCTTTCATTACTATCAATGGATTTTATAACACTACAACGAAACACACAAAATGTCATCATCATAAAAAAATCTATAAAGAAATGGAAATATATAAAAAAGGAAACTATAATATAGTAATTATATATGTAAAGCTTTATTATTCATTATTATTTACTATAAATCTATATCAATTGCTTTTTGAAGTGAAACTTCTTTATCGGGGTTGGAAAAAATTTAGTGTAACATTTTTGCGTTACGCGTCACATTTTTCCGTTACGCGCCATGTTGCTTTTTGAAGTCAAACTTCTTTATCGGCGTTAAAATATGACATATAGTATGTTTTTGACTTTGAAGTTTGACAACGGATTACATTTTCGACTTGAAATTTGCTAATCGCAATTTGCAGCAATTAATTTGTAAATTGTATGCTAGGCAGTGTATCAGAATTTACTGTGTTTAAAGAAATAGTTTCTAATAAGGTCATAAAGAAGTTTCACTTCTTACGTGTGTACACCTAGTACACGCACACATTTTTTTTTACGAATCATACATGTCTAGAATGTAGAAATTTCTATCACATTGTTCATAAACTGCAAATAGAATAATTATCTAAATAAATATATTAGTATTTTTTTGTATAACTAATTTGAATTATTTCTTGAAACTATGGAGTGAAAATATTTTTTGAACATTGGATGCGACTTCTTCAATACTAAGAGTCCCCTCGGGGGTTGTGTGCTGCGATATTGCGGGTTACTCGATTGTGAGGAAGTTGTATGGATCTTGTTAGCGCTGCGCCTTCTTAAGTTTTCATGTCATATTCACACGTGTATGTCCTTTCTATAACATATTTTCATAAGTATCTGATTGTTGCGTGGGATGTTTGAGAGAAATAATAAAAAATAAATATTAAATTCAGATTCTACTAGCTGTTACCGAATTTCCATTTAAAAACGAAAAATTAGTCTCCGGTTTATGTAAGTTGGTTAAAAGAGATATCATAATATTTTCATACATAAATACAAAATGATATACAGGCTAAACCACTTTGGAGCATTTCTCACAATCTTTAACCAACTCTAAACGTTAAAGTTGCACGTACGCTGCAATCTATTATACTACTTTGTGCTGCTAAACCTGACATCTACCGTATTTATGAGGCAAACATTTTGTGAACAGTTTTGAGACCAACCTTATATGGATATTAAACTTTTAATGAATACATTATCTTGGCAGTCCATGTCATTACGCTTATTTGTCGTGATACTGGGAATATTTAAGTTAATGGGCGAGAGGTTTTTGGGATTGTACTGGTTAATATGTTATAAAAATAAATAATTCTATAATAATAATTTATTATTTACGTTATCTGCTACAATTATTTAACATCAATACATTATTGCATGTTATATACGTCCTATAGTGAAAGAGTTATAATATTTTTAATGTATCTATTAATTTTAACAGGACGCATTTTAGAAAATATTTAGAATTTTTTAGAAATTCCAGCTTAGTTATACAGTAATGACATTAAAAATTTTACGGAAACGTATACAAATTTTTACACTACATATAGTTAGTAGTACTTTATGATAGTCGCGGTTAGGTTGGGATATTTTTACGAATGTTAGTGGTATTGTATGTTACTCATAGTGTATTTTAACAACTTTGATTCCTAAAATAAAAATACCATTATGAAATATTGCTAAAAACATTTATTTCATCTGCCTGTAATATATATATCATCAGTCTATTTAATTGTAAAATATAAGCATACATTTATTAATAATGGGGTTAATCATCCCTCAACCGTATACTATGATTTGACTTTAAGATAATTACAATTGCAGGAAGACTCGGGCGCACCGGCCATGAGACATGGTCATATAGTGGGAGTGACAGTAGGAGGGGCAGAGTTCGACGGTGACCACGTCGCTGTGGCCATGAAGATCAGCTGTTTCTGTTCATGGATTGCTGAAAACTTACCGTATGTATTACATACAATTAAAAAAATGTTTTTATTTAAACGGGACTGCACCTCAACGCCTGGAGTTCCAAATAGAGCGCTTTTTAGGCCACTTTCTATAAACCGACACCCTGAAGTTAGCTTTAGTCAACATTTATGTTTGCGTGAGAACTGACAACTTTATTCACGATATTTATTTATTCAAGTATTTCTGAACTTACCACACGTGTTTTGTATCAGTCCTAATAAAATATATATTTTCTCAAACAATATTATAATGTATTAAAAAATAAAATAATATTACAATAATTTACTGTGATTAAGTGATAATAATTGTTTTTACATATTATTACTTTGAGTACGTAACGTAGAATAAAATTTTTGAAAAGATTTTTATCTTGTTACGCCAAAGAAGTATAACTTCTAACGCGTGTACACACACGTTTTTTTTTATAATTAGTCTAGGTTTTCACTATTTATTAGAGACTTTTTATTTGTTAATTTTAAAGTCTATATTTTACGCCTACTTATTTTTCTCTTGTCAAATTATATTTATACCGGGATGACAATACAATGCGTTGTTTGCCTATTGTTTATTGATTGCGTAAATGTCGTTTGTGCAAATATTTGAGAATTTATTGTGATTCTAATTCGCAAATAAAAATACAATAGATTTGTTTCCCAATTCCTGATTTTGGCCCAGTGCAATTTTGGCAGATATAAACTAAAAGAACGTAAAAATAAATCACGTCAATCAATTAAAAAAGTTTTTTTAATTCATTCATAAAGGATTTTTATTTTTATTTTAGCAGCTGAAGATTTGAATATAGCTTGCAATACGAAGTTTTATTTTAACCAGAAGCATTCAATTCTTGTAGTTTTATGTTCCACTTAAAATTATTATTAAGTTATTAAAAATAATTACAAATTTCTTTTGTAGTTGAAACATTGATTAAAAAATGTTATCAAATGAATCGTTCACACATACAAATCATAGGAATAAAACCTATCCATCTGATACACACCAAGGCTTCTTATTCAGGAATAGTATAAAACATTCAATAAAAATCAGTGGCGCGACCACTTCTTTGGTCTGGGCCTCAGATTTCTGAATCTATTTGATGATAATTTTTCGATCTAATAGGCAAGTAGGTTATCAGCTTCCTGTGCCTAACACACGCCGTTGACTTTCTTGGGTGAAGACATGTCGGTTTTCCCAAGATGTTTTCCTTCACCGTTCGAGCGAATGTTAAATGCGCACATAGAAAGAAAGTCCATTGGTGCACAGCCGGGGATCGAACCTAAGACCTCAGGAATGAGAGACGCACGCTGAAGCCACTAGGCCGACACTGCTCCTAGTATAAAAGATATAATGTTTAATTTCGAGGTCCGGATTCGTTTCTTAGCAACTAGTGTAGCTTCGTGACAACTAGTGTAATAGTAACAGAAATAACCGGAATTGGAGAGGTTATTGAACTTCAAAACAAACATAAAAGTATAGTCTACAAACCGTATCGATAGCTAGAAATTCCGTTAAGCTGCCTCTATAGCTTTAAATTACGTTTTTCGGTACACTGACATCAACAAACCGGTAACGATTGGTTCGGGATTTTGTCATGACAAGCGAATGGATCGCTCTAGGAAACTGTTTTGGAGAATTTTCATTGTATCAATCGGAAAATTGTTCACACATACACATTCCTACAAACATATAACAAATAATATATTCGTTTTCCTTTCTAATGCATACATTATTTTATAAACTCTTATGAAGGAGCCGGTAAAAGGGAGACACACTGTAAAACAAAAAAACGTAACGAAGGCGTGCTCGTTTTGATTGTCGTCAATAAAATCAAAATATCATTTAAGCATGAGAAATTTGTTAAAAAAAGAAGTGCATGCGTACAAAGTACACATGTCAGAAGTGAAACTTCTTTGGCAAACTAATATTTAAGTCTTGTTCATATTTATACAAATCTTAAACTTTAGATTTCCGAGACTTAGAGGGAGGGAAAAAGGAATATATGTTAGGAATTTAGTTGTCATTAAAATATTAAGTGTCGAAAATAATACAAATTATAAATTTAATTTTCTTTTTTAATTTTTTTGGCATTTTAATTTACAATTCGTCATTTGAGATTTCAATAAATTATTTTGCATAAAATATAAATAGTCCATTGAAATGTTACATGGGCTGAACATTTGATAGGTCTACTGTGGATGCCGCGTAAAAAAACGGCGCCTACAGACTCTACCTCATATGTGGTGGGGAAAAGAGTCAAATTGTTAGAATTGAACAAAAGTTTTCAAAAATTTGTTTAAAATAAACGAGAGATCATAAAAGTAAAGTAATAATGTTGTTTTGACCGGCTTGTCATGAGCATTGCCGAACCCGAACAATTTTGGAGCGCTGTAACAGCGTTTCCAATTAATGAAACTTATAATAATTATAGAGGAACATCTTCAGAAAGAGATCCTCTACAAAATTGTTCAGACGTAGTTTAGTTATTAAGCAAAATAGGAAGTTTTTTCACTTTTTACTTATACATATTATGTAATTTCAATTATGCGCAAGAACCGTCTCTCAATATTCGGTGATGTCCTAACGTGGGAGTTAGTAGTAGAAAAAGGCAGATAATTTTTTCAATACCTGTTTGTATTATCATTTTCTATGATTTTATGCAGCAAATTAATAAAGCTTTTTAAAGATACTGCATGCATTAATTTCAGTGATGGAGGACCAAGTATGCAATGCTGCACAAACTGCTGCGATATCCAAAAACAATCAATGGAGTATAGTGGAGAAGCATTCCATCAGGCACGAAAGAAGAAAAAGAAGGTTTGAAAATAATTTAATTACTGTCAGTAGTGTGACCATCTGTTATATTATCCTTATTGTTAATTAAATGACATTAAAAGTACAGTATTTGCACAATTTTGTAATATTCTTATTAAATGTTGTTTACTCTATAAAGGTAAAAAAATATATTCATAACAGTGTTATTAAACTAACTAATCATTATAAAGAACTAAAATAAACATATGTAATAATATGTAAAGTAGTATATTGTTAATGGGACTATGAAACAAACAAGATAAAGAATTAGGTCATAATATTTTTTAATGTGTGTCTGACACCCTATGTAGTGGAATAAGTCCCACAATCCCCAATAGGATAAAGGATAAAGAGATTCATAATTTTTATTAGGCAAGTGATCAGGCTGTTGTGTCTGACATATATAGATTTTTGGGTTTGGGGTCTTAGATGTGGTGCATCTGGGATTTCAAAACACGACCTCAGAATCTCAGAATCTCAATAGACAATGATTGTTCTTATCTTGAAGACAATCCAATATTCTACATAAGATAGCAAAATTGTTATTCCCCTCGAATTAAGTTTATGCAAATAAGCTTATACTGTCGTGTAATAAGATTTATGGTGACAGACTAATCCATTTGTAATCCGCTTTGAGCCTAAACAGAGGAAAAGCCCGTAATAAGATTTTTAAAAGTTGTGGCGTGGAGTGTTTTATTTCTTCAGAAATCGTATAAGTTGTATATAGACGCTAGATTATAAAGAAAGTGTTTTTACATGAAAATGCGTTAGGTGTATTTTATTTACACCTATACCTTTTAAATCGTTTGTAATTATCTCTAAACATTTATTTATTCATACAATGATTTAACAAAACACTATTGTTGCAGACAAAACCTATATGATAGTGTATTAAAATTATAATTCATTAAAAGTACAAAGAAATAATATATCTAAATGTATAAAACAAAGTCGTGTTAGTTACACCACTTATAACTCAAGATCGGTTGGACCGATGTTAGTTATCTCTTTTTTGGTTGATTCTTCTCCGCTCCGAATAGCAAAATAAGTAATAAAATATCGGATAAGTTATCGAATGACAATAAAATAATTAACTAATTTTAAATAAAACTATCGCACAGATCAACAAAATAAATAGGACTTAAATACTTTTTGTAATATATTATGTAATATAACATTTATTTCATATGAAAAGATTGAGAAATTATTTCAAAGACGCCCAACCTGAGAAAGGTGTTTATGGAGAAAAAAATTGCACGGATAAACCTAAAAACAAGTTTTATTTTGCTGTAATTGTGAACGCAAACAGTTTCTATGGGGTAGCACAGCAAAATATACCATATGTTGGTATGTAGCTACTAAACTACTACCTCTAATTAATTTGCGGTATTTGTTTTAAAATAAGTGTTGTTTGATGATTTGCTATTTTAAAAGAGTACCGAGAGTTTTTTACGCCGGCTTTTTCTCTCGGCCTACACCCTCTGTCTTCTTTGCCGATGAGGGATGCCTACAAATTGAAATTTAATGACGTGGAATAAGTGATACATGTATCTTATGTTCCATAATAAACATATTTTATTTTATTTTATTTTAAAACGGTAAGCTAAGTAAAATCTTATTAAAGCGAAATGAAGTTCGCGGGGGCAGATAGTAAATAATCATATCACAATATCCTTTAATAGTATTATCATTGTGAAGACTACTGAATATTTTATTTCCTTGAGCACTCGTGCAAAAAGATCTGTCATGTTTCATCCCATATATAACACAGCCATAATTAAATGTCACAGGTCAGTTAAGGATTCATGAGTCTCCAGAGTTAGCAATTAGTTCAATAATCCAGGTTTAGAGGCATCACACAGGAGCTACCGAGACTGGTAATTGCTGGCGTAATCCTGGCTCATAGTTCTAGTGGTCTAATTTATACTTGTTTTTATTAATAAAAATCAGAATTTAATTTAAAAATGGAAAACAATTATTACTTATTAATTCTTCAAAATAAAACTGACTAAATGCATACAAAGCTTAAATTGTTCTTATTTGAAGGTGATTAAAAATTGCAAGCATATTGAAGAGAAAATAAGTCTTCAGGTTATAAGGGTATTAAATAAATCAATCAAATTTATATAAAGTGAGTTTGTTACGAAGTTTGTAAAAGCGAAGAATACAAGATTCGAATTGAAAATCTTAAAGACTTATCGTAACGTGTTTTATTTTTTTTAAATTGACTTTTAATACCACACCATTATGTTCATATGTGGTCTGTCGATTTTTAGATCAATAATATTAGTACTGTATTTAGTTCAAATAAATCAAACTTCTTAGAGATAATTCCAACATTTTACTAAAGCATTTACTCTACCAAAACGCTTTGAAACAGTCGTACGGTACAGACATACGTCTTGTGCATATTTTAAGACATACTAAATTCCGAGGCGCGCCAGTAACAATATATTTTAGCGCCATGTATTTTAATTAAGTTTTGCAAGGGTTATTAACAAGTTTATGCGAAGAACTTTACTTTTACGTCCCGTCCCTCCGAAGATTTTGTGCTTATTTAGTGAATTTGATAAAAATATTGCCAATATAATATACCGTTCATCTCTCTGATGTAATTATTCTGTGTTCAGGAGTAAGTTCTGACTTAATCAGGATACTGAATGGCTGTACCACATTCAGTGTAGTTTATAAAGTTGTATACATAGACTTAGGCGATGCCATATTTAAATTCGTCCTGATTTTCTGGATTCAGTTTTATTCTGCATTATACCAGCATTAAACTGATCAATCTGATAGACGACTCATTGGTCTAGTGGTTAGTACCCCTGACTGCGAAACCATGGGTCCCGGGTTCGATCCCCGGCTGAGACGAACATCGATGTGATGAGCATTTGATGTTGTGCTTAGGTCTTGGGTGTTTAAATATGTATTTATATGTCTATCTATGTATAATATGTATGTATATCCGTTGCCTAGTACCCATAACACAAGCTACACCAGCTTAGCATGGGACTAGGTCAATTGGTGTGAATTGGATTTAAAAAAAAAAAATTAAGTTTGACATAAAAGCTTACGTGTTTATAAAACAAATATGAATTAATTAAATGTATCTCCATACTTTTCAGGTGAGGACTATTCAGACATTTTTTATTCTAAAGTTGATTTTCTCTTAAAATTTTAAGGTTTATTTAAAAGCTTTGCTTAGAGCATTAAACCTCATTTACTGGAACAGATGGCCGAGTTGTTAGGATTACATTAATCTGGCCACAATTTACCTAAAGTGCCCAAAGTGTAGGCACGCCTGCACTTGCAGTGTTAATATTTCGTTCACTTGGAATTTAGGTCAGTAAATTGGATACACAATTGCACTTAAACTTTGGTAATATAACCCACACAAATAATTCAGTTTATGTAATACAAACACAGTCAATTGTTTCTCAAAGCGTCTAAATTCGTAAAAGAATATTTAGCATAAGTTAATAAAGGTCTAAGAGTAAAATTCTAAGTCAAGTCTGAAGACTGTATGTATGTTAAAAGCACGCAGAAATCAAGAAAGTTTAGAAAAACTCATCGTGGCAGAGTGGAAGGCACCAGACCTCGAGGCCGATCCCCTACTCACTGGACCGATCAAGTAAAGGCTCTTCTACAGGTCTTACCATAACCCGGACGCAAAGCATTGGCAGGGGAGAGTGGAGGAAGTTGTGCGGCGCCACTAACATGACCTTCGGAAATGAAGGGCGACTGAAGAATGTTAAAAACGTATTGCTTCTAAGACGGCATACCTCATCAGCAAGGTTTCCACACCATGTTTACCACCGAGAAAGAAAATCTTAAAGGAGCACGTTCGGGGTTTGAACGCACGAAACTAGGATTAACCTTTAGGTCATCACTTGAAATCTAATTATTATTTAGCGTGTAATTTTAATGGAAAATTTCAGCTTTATCTACCTTGATGTAATATAACATTTATATGTTCTAAATAATATAATAACTTTATATAAACTGTGAATACGATAGACAAGGCACTTTTATGAATATGAATTCAGCGAGATGTGATTCTTTATAAGAATTGATACGCCCGTCACGCGATATCAACGCTTTACGGAGAAACGGAATAGAAAATCACGAGAAAAATTCAATTTTTAGTTTCACAATTTAAATATGAAAACAATAGAAATCCGAACAATGAAGTGTGGAAAGAACATAACTGTACCTACTTGAGTGTTTTTATAGGAGTTTTATACTGGCGTTTGAGTTTATTGGTTAAAATAGTATTAAGTCAATTGAAAAAAAAAAGTGACGTCTATTTTGGGGACCACTTCTTTCTTTGATATATGGATACTGGATAGTGTCTACGGCAAAACTATTCTTTGTAAATTGCATTATGTAAGGAAATGATTAGGAAATTCACTCACTTTACATTTGCTTTTCTACTATCATAGTAGTCCAAATCCAAGTTGCAAAACCCGATGAATTTCCTTAGTTTATCAGCGGCTGTAGCCTTCTTCTATTTTGTTCGCTCATGTGGCGGAGAGTTTCTAGCCAGTACTACGCCCCCTCAACGCCTATGATTTCTGAATGTTTACCTTTAGTTTTGTATGCTGCGCTTTGGTGGGCGCACAAGTTTCAGATCCAAAGGTTAGTCCGTTAGTAGTAACGTATAGATGCCAATATGATTTAATAAATTTGAGTTGAGTAAAAGTGATATGTTTTTTGTGACACACCGGCGATTTGTAGCTTACATGGCGGTCACAATGTTAACTCTCATTGTATCTTTTACTTGCGCCCATGGTAAGAAAACACTACTGATTTCAGCAGCCCGAGTTCAAACCTCAGGGTGAGAGTCGTGAAGTCGAGACTTAGCGCTAAGTTTTTTTTTATAGAACGGGGGGCAAACGGGCAGGCGGCTCACCTGATGTTAAGTGACACCGCCGCCCATGGACACTCTCAATGCCAGAGGGCTCGCGAGTGCGTTGCCGGCCTTTTAAGAATTGGTACGCTCTTTTCTT